CTTGTTCTCCCAGTGCCCCCCGGACGGCGAAGCTTCCGATAACTTCAGCCAACGGTTTGTGGACATCTTTGGAGCTGAAAGGCTCGAAGCACCCGTTCCCAGAGCTCGAAAGAAGAAACTTGTGGTGTTGAGATAGTTCAGTACAGCTTCTCTCAAACTAGTGGTACGAGGAGTATCCGTAGCAGTGGCAGTGGCGGTAACAATAGCAGTAGCAGGAGTGCTACAGAGTATCAGTAGGAGAAGGGGTAAGAGTAGTGGCCGACATGATGATCGGCGGGGTGCCTTTGGAGTCTCGGGTGTGGTTTCTAGAATTGAGCCGGGAATGCTGCGACACGCTCCTCCGTGCAAGTCGTCGCCGACAGCCAGCAGGAGTAGGAGCAGCAGCAGCAGCAGCAGGAGCAGGAGCAGGAGCAGGAGCAGGAGCAGGAGCAGGAGCAGGAGCAGGAGCAGGAGCAGGAGCAGGAGCAGGAGCAGGAGCAGGAGGAGGAGGAGGAGTAGTAGTAGTAACAGCAGAAGCAGCAGCAGCAGTAGTAGTAAGTAGTAGCAGCAGCAGCAGTACGGGTGTCATTCATGGTATGTTCAAGGCCAGAAAACAATTCTGGCGTAATGTAAAAGAGCATATGCCAAGCAGGGACAGTTGGCATGTTCCATGCATAGCTTGGCAGCCAGGCCCTAAATGTAGGCGGGAGGTCAGACCCTTCAGTTTACAGGGCTTCGGCGGGTCTTCATCCGGAAGCTTCTACCATGAGACTAGTCCTTGGTTTGTTGGGGGGCTCTAGCGGGTTGAATGGCTTCAGCTCTGCCGACAGGTTGAGGCAGCCATTCGAGGCACAAGGGCTGCTCGCACAGTCGCCTGAACACTCAAGGCTAGATGTCTATAGAAGGGCAGTCCCAAGGATGGTCTTCGAGCGAAGACGTTGAAGCTTTGTTCGGTGCCTAACGAGGGCGAGACAGGGGCTAGGTGTTCAGCTCCGCTGAATAGTTTTGTGTTCGATTTCCAGTTGGCCGTTTCCCTTGTTTATTTCCCTTTGCTGTCAGGCACTGCAACCATTTTCAGTCGTCTATTGAAAATAAGTTTCTGCTCTTCCTCGCATAACACCACTCGAGAATCAATATCGTAGCAGCACTCTACAGTAAAGACTTATCATGTCATAGCCAAAGCCATGGTCGGAGCGGGATGAGGATCATAGTCGCAAATTTCGTCGCCGCCATCATCACCGTCGCCATCATAGTTATCATCAACATAAGCCTCTTCTTCAGCATCCTCAGCAGTAGCTTCGCTTTGGCAACCCTCCTCGGCATCGTCATCCTGCTCGCGCACGGCAGATGCCAAAGGCTCAGGTCAGGTTTTCGCCAACCACATGATATGACCCAGCTTTAGTCGACTCATGCTGCCTTGGCAAACTCGGAAGGTGGTACTACCTGCGTCCAGCTGCGGCTAAAGAACGTCGGAAGCTCGGGGGTGTATCTCAGATGGAGGTGTTGTCACTCTCGGTCCTCATGGTCCATCCTACCAGAAGAACCTGAAACCTCACACCGTAGATCCGAATGCTTCTACGCGGTCTGCAGGGCTGGCACCAACAACCGATGTCACACCAAGCTCGAGAGTTCCTAAAGTATTCGAGAAGGTCTCCACTGCCACCTTCGTGGACTGGGGACACCAGGCGGGGCAAACTACGGCATCTTACAAAGAGTCTCAACGTGTGGCAGCCTCTGCATAAACCGAATAGAACCGTCCGTGCAAATGCTATCACATGCTGTTCATTTTGGTTTTCTAAACCGTTTGTGGGCATCATATGCATACATATATATATATATAAATATAGATGCATGCATCAAGAATTGTCTACGTTACATGTGCATCCCCCCCACACACACACACGCACGCATGCATGCAGACACCTCTGATGCCTCTGTGAATCCCAGCCAGATTCGGGAGCTGACGCGCAAGCACGGCGTGCCACTGATCGTGGATGATCGCCTTGACGTCGCATTAGCTGTTGATGCAGATGGGCACCTTGGTTGAGTTTTCGAAGATGGAGGCTTGCACACAAACTCCCAAGACAACCCCAAATGTTCAACCGAAATCGAGGCTTCACGTTGGTGGCGAGGATTTACCTTGGGCCACGGCACGTCGGTTGTTGGGCCCCACGAGGAGGGCCGGTGTGTGGCAACTGTAACCTTCAAACCGAAAACCCCAAACCCCTAGCTGAGGTTCAGGGCATCGTCATCATCGTTCTTTCTTGCTTCCCTTTTTATCGCTACAGCTGGTTGTGTCTTTATGGGCTTCGATTGCTGCTTCAATTCATTGCTTGTTTTGCCATCAATGCCAGTTGTCTTAGCGGCTTTCTGGTGCTCTCACCGCGAGAAGAAGATGCATGTGACTCAGTGCCATTGGCTCGAGCCAGCAGATCGGTGGAAGTGCATATTGGAGAACCAGCGCCGATGAGCCAGGTAACATAGAAGCCAAAGTAATTGCCATTAGTATTCCCTAGGGTTCCTTTCTATAACTATACTATCAAGAAGCCCGAAAGCCTATCCTGATTTTTTAAGGCCCCTGTCTTCGGAGTCTTAGCCCAGTTGCCGAGGGCTTGACCGCTAATTCCCTGCCAAGACTATTTGTACGCCAGCGGTTCTGTGCAGACATCGCCTCGGTACGACAAGCTAAACCCCTAAAGCCCTGGACCCTTGAGCGCTTAAGCTGAAGCCGAAGAGCTTGGCCTCAAGGTGACGTAGTGCCGTGACATGGAAGAGCGCACATCCAGCTGCGAAAGCATGTATCATGGCTTACAGTTCGAGTGATCACTGCAAGTTGGATTGGTCCTGGCCGCCATGGTTAAGCTGCCTGTCCGCCGCAAGGCTCGGATCGACAAGCTCAAGACGTACATAAAGAGTCATAAAGGAGTAACAGGCAGCACAGCTTATTGTGATGACCGTTGCTGGGCAGTCGATCAGCTACTGCATGCCAGCAATAGCAGCAGCGAAGAAGGTGTAGAGATGATAGAAATCTTCGCAGCAATTCTGGTCAGTTCTTGGTGTTTTTTTGTTTTGTGGTTCACTCTTGGCCGGACCAAGTTTGGAGAAGAAGTGTCAAAAGTTGGTTGTTACACTGTAGGCATCCATCATGTTTTGTTGGGATGTCTGTATTTCAGCGTCCCACTTCGAGCTTTGAGACCAGTTTTGAGGGGGAGTTCTGCTTGGCTCTAGGACTTCTCGAGGCAGTCGGTCTCGAACTGACACTGCAACCGACTACTGCCTTAAAGCCCAGCGAGTGGTAAGTTTCCTCCTGCAAACTAGCGACAGGAAGGATTCGGACAATCACTGCATTTCTACTTGCTTGCTTTGCCACGTAGTCATTTGCAACCTTCCCCCTCTCCTAAACTCCCACTCCCATCCTCGGACAGGAAGCTTTAAATCAATTCCCAACTTCCTTATGTTTAAATCAGTTCCCAGCCTCCCATCCTGGACCCTCAACCTGGAGCCCTTAGCCTGTCCAGCGCTGCGCGGACGGCTCGGGGTCGGATGGTGCCCGTCGCTTCGGGGTGGCGGCCATGCAGGGCTGGCGGGAGGCAAGCCCGGCTCCTCAAATGGGTTTTGGGTTTAGGCTTTGGGGTTGAGGGCTTGGTGCTGAGGGTTTAGGGTTTAGGGCTTAGGGTTCAGGGTTTAGGATTTAGGAGGGGTTCCGGATGTAGGCATTCAGTACAGTATCTTGCAGTGGTTGGATATGGTTGGATGCTCGGTTCCTTGGGTTTCGAGTCTGCGGTGCAGAGGCAGTCAACTGGTGGGTTTAACCCTACGGGCTGGAAGGCAAAGGTTACCCACCGCAAGCAGACGGCGGCAACAAACGCTATCCTCAGTGTATCCTGTATTGGGGCAGCTGCTCCTAGCAGCAATGGGGAGCCTTGACTTGATGATTAGTCTAGTGTTTGCCCTCATCGTAGCCAAACGAAGATGAAGGTATGGAGGTCAGTGCATGTGTGCTTGCTCTGCTTCTTCTCAAGCCCGCTTTGTCTTTATACTTCTCCCTGGTATTGAGTCGCCAGTGAAGTTACGCTGCCTGAATCCGAGAACTATTACTGAAAGGATCATGGGACGTAGTAACCAGGGTTATAATTAGGGTTACTATACTTATGACCCCAATTAAGGTACCTATATAACCTTACTTACTAAGTCTCAGGATCCTCCAAGTAGAGTCAAGCCGAAGGCTTGTGAACCTCACCTGCTGAAGCCGCGAAGCTTCGATCCCTAAACCCATGCTAGGCTTTCATTGAAGCTGCCGGTGATGATGATTATCGGTGCGATTAGTATGAGGGTTCATGTTTCTCTCTTGCCTAGTATCAGCATGAGAAGTAGGATGGATATTGCAAGCACGAGTCCCGTTGATGCTGATGTTACTGATCTTTGTATTGTCTTTCTGCTACCGTACTGGTGTTGGGGCGGTCGCACGAAAGCACTTGTATACGCAATAGCTGACAGCCCTGGCACAACCGGGGGGAAAAAGTACATACCGTCTACCCCAAGAGCAGGCATGGCGAGCTTCATCGAGATTCGAAGGTCTTAGGATCCAAGGTTGTTGGACTGGAAGCACTCTCCCGAGAGACTATATGGCCTACAGTCTCGATCACGGCCACGCGAGCTACGCCAAACCGAAGTCGAAGGACCGCTGGGCGCAGAGGGGGCTCATACTAGATTGTGCTATAACTCGATACAGTACAGTACAGCTCACTTTTGTATAGTGTAGTAGCGTGTGATATGATATTACATCATCAGAGAGGTTTCAAGTTTCGACCCTTGAAGCCTCGGATAAAGTCTGCCCGTCTTTGGAAGAGAAGTGACAGGTCCATCGCAGACGTTTTTTTCCCAGGCTTCTCGTGTCATCTATTGTGAGACCGTTATCAGAAACCCTAAACCCTAAACCCACAAACCACAGATTGTGGGAAAGCAGATTCGTCTTCCTTCTGCTGGACCCCGTTGTGTTGTTCTCAGAGCATTTTGCCGCCATGGGCCCATGTGCCACCTTCGTCGCATTGCTGGCGCTCGGTATATACCTAAACTTCCTGGTGCAGTTTTCCAAGGTGCAAACTCTGCATGCAAGCGAGGCTCCCGTGGCGATGTGGCAGCGGCACCAGAATGAGGAACTCCCCGAACGGGTGCGGGGCATTCTTTGGATGCGAGGCAACACCTGCCCGGAGCTGATGTTGACCCTAGAAGCCGCTACTTTTGACAAGGCAAGTCGAGAACTTCTCCTTCCGTTTGGAACCGGGTATAGCTGGACCTACAATGATGACTTTGCGGGTTGGCTGGAGTATGGAGCAGTGACGCTGAACCTGGCCTTCTTGAGCCCCGGAAAGCTGAGGGTCGTCTTCGACGAGGACTTTAGGTTCGGAACGGTGCAGATCTCCTTTCTTGGCATGGGCTTGTCGGGCCATCTATGGGGTATGAACAACACGGATGATGGCGTCGGAAACTTCTGGGACAGAGTATTTTGGGATGATGGCAAGTGGCTTTTCAGGTATGACATCAAGAAGGTCCTTGATGCGGACGGTAAGAAGCTGCCGGCACAATCACAGATGGTGAACTCCACGCTCGCCGGAACTGTGGTGCACGGGTCCTCTTGCGGTGTCACGACCCAGGTGAAAACCTACAGGCAGCTGCTTCATGGAGATTTCTCGCTGCTTCAGATCTTCTTATCCCTGATCTTCTTTGCTCTTTGGTTCGGCCTGGCCTATTTCTGCTTCAAGGACGGCACGAAGGCACCATACGTCCAGTACAATCTGCTATAGTAGATACGCCTCGCTATCTTGCAGTCTATAGATATACCGTTCCATGGCCCAATATACGTTGTGCATATGCTTCAAGTAAGCTCTATTCTTTCTATTCTAGTTTCTATATATGTATATATATATATATATATATATATATATATAATTAATATAATATAATATGTGTATATTTCTCCCGGTCTGCTGTGAAGAGACGCAGACACGATCGGCCGAGTGCCCACGTCTCCCATGCACTGTCCCAGCCTCTGCCACCCAAGAAAAGTGGGAGTTTCCGAAAATTAGGGGTGCCATATTTTTCGGAGTCCTTATATTAAGGATCCTACTATTTAGGGTACTATATTGGGGTCCCCGCTTTTCGGAAATCCCCAAGAAAAGTGGGAGAGTTGCCTCTTCCCCTGGATGGTCTCTGGGCTAATTTGCACTTGCAAGCCTAGCGTGGCCTTCCGGTTTTACAGTTTCCGGGGGGTAGTGCAGAGGGACTGAAACGTCATTTCGTGTGCAAAGACTCGCCTGATACGTCATCGTGTGTGCAAAGACTCGCCGCGCGAGGCGTAATGTGTGAAAAGAATGGCTGCGACGGCTTGAGATGCCGAACTTCGCATCCTCAGCTCTATTTCTCGGCCACGTTCCCTGTGCGAGGAGACTTTCGCTACGTGCATCCTCCAGCACTACGCGTTGAGTGAAATCTACGTCAACAAGAGCCTTGGTTGTTTTGGGGGCTCAGCTCCCGTTGGTTTCTGCTTACTGTGCCCGACACATCAAGTAACTCGCACTTCAGAATCTGGCTTCAACTCTAAACCCTGCAGTGCTCAACTCTTAGCCCTTGCACCCTAAAGTCCCGAAAGCCTAAACACCCCCAAACCCTAAACCCCATCCCCCTAATCCCGAGAGTCCTTACAGATGGAGGACTATCACTTAAAACCCTCAACCCTAAACACTACAGAAGATGAAGGACTCTTACTTAAGAACCCTAAACCCTAAACCCGAAAAAACCCCAAACCCTATACCCTAAACAGTGCAGGAGATGGAGGACTTTCACCTGGCGCTGCCTGACTTCGACCTGCCCCGTGGCCTTGCGCTCTACGGCGTCTTCGATGGCCACGGAGGCAAGGACTTTTTTCTGAAGGCTCAGGAGGCGTTATATAAGGTTTGAGGTTTCAGGGTGAAGGATGTGAAGGTTTTGGAACTAGGCTTTGGGTTTCAGGTTTAGGGTTTATGGGTGTAGGGTTGGGCTTTGGAATCGTTGGCCTTTTATCACATCCAAGCTGTTCTTTGATATAAATGTATAATCTACTACAACATAATATGCCACAATATACCATTATATATAGTGGCACTCCTCGAAACAGGAACTGCAACTCGACCTGCTGAAGGTATGCAGTCGCATCCCTAAGCCCCGAGACCCGGTCGCCCTCAGCCCCAAAGCCAGAATCCCGCAGAAAAGCTCCAACAAGTGTTGATCCACCAGTTCTGCAGGAAGTGCCGTAGCAGAGATCGTCGCCGAGCGCCTTCCCCAGATCCTGCGTCAGCTGCCGGAGTATGCACGAGGTGAGTACCAGGAGCTCAGAACCCGATACTGCCAGGGTTGGAGACATCCGATTATCTTTTCTCGCGTTTCCAGCGGTGATCCTTTCCAAACAACCGCAGCAGTAGCATCACCAGCTTCGAAGGTTTTTGGAGCTGGAGCAGTTGAGGCCAAGACGGAAGTAGAGACCAAAAGTCCACTATGGCTGGCAGCCTTTAAACCTCTATAAGCCCTAAGCCCGAATCCCCCAACACCCTGAACCATAAGCTCGACAATCATAGCTTTGATCCTTGTCTCGAGGAGGCGCTCAAGCAGGCATTCCTCGAGCAGGACGGTGCTGACCATGTCTCTTCTATATTGCACCTGAGGGTTCTCAATGTACATTATGGCACATTATAGCATATTCTAGCGTATTATAGTATCTAGAAGTATATCAGTATGTTGTGGCATGTTTTGCGTCTTGCAGTATATTAAATATCTTGTAACATGTTATAGTATATAGTATTGTATTATTGTAGTATAGTCTAGCATAGTATAATGTAGTATATTACAGTTATCTGTAGTATATTAGAGTACCTTTTTCCGGCTCCCTAGCCTAGGCTTTAGTCGCCTTGCGAACACCTAGGCCCGGAGCCATGCCTCTTGCCCAGGGTTTAGGGTTTAGGGCTTTGTAGTCGACTTTTTCAATTTTACAGGGAACTCCAGAAAGTTGGAATATGGATTAATGGTAGGATCCCCTATAATTTACCGTAAAGGGGTTACGATAATGATATTCCAACTTTCTGGCTTCTACTGTACAACAAGCCCGCAGAAAAGGAAGGCGACTCTGCAGTCGCAGTCTGCGCTCTAGGATATGGCGTAACTTGCCAGATGGAGTAGAGTTGAAAGCAATGCAACCTGATATCGCATGACATAACATGAACTGTTGCAACAATCCACATGACGACAAGCATGTGTACATGGGACACATTTCTGGCGAGCTTATCTGGCAGTTGCGACAGATGCTTGTTCAAAGAAATGCAGCTTCGACCCAAATCCCTGAGCCCCAACGCTCCAAAGTCTCGTCTTTTCTGCCCCTGGCAGGACAGCTTCCTGAGGAGTAAGGCAGGGGGAGTTCGAGAGCTCGGGGCCTGGGGATATGTTGGGGCTGCTGAAATTTTCGACCGGGGTCCTCGCATGTTATGGGGTCCCTTAACTTCTGCTGCTCCATGTTGGCGTTAAAATCTTGCAGTTGGGGATCTCATGTTCGGTTTGGGTAGTACAAGCTTGTCTACTATGCTGCCAACGCAAAGCTTCACTTTTGTAACTACCCGGCTTTGGTCTCTGAACATTATATCAACCACTGTTGTTTCTAGCGCCTATCGTCGTGAACTCGCCGGGATTTCCAACATATGATAGGGGCCTAAATAATTACCAATACTATTTTGGAGTTCCGAATTCAAGTTACAGCATAAGATACCCCAATCCTTTAGGGCCCCTATATTACCCATAATTATAGTATACTGGGCCCCAAAACCCTACGCGCCGTTGTCCGAGTCCCTGCGACTTCTGTGTACAGTTGCTAGATTCCTGGTCGGTACAGTACGACTCGATGTTAAACTGCATTGATCAAATCATTGCAGTAATTAGTTAATACGCCTAGCTCAAAGACAGCTAGCTTATTCAGCGATGCAACACGCATCTTTCGAAGTACTCGCCTCAGACTTCTGTCCGCTCCGCCCCAAAACCCTATTCTAATTATTGAAGGCCCCTATATTATAGTGCCCTGAAAGATCCCTTATAGTATTAAAAGGAACCCGATTGCAATTATTAAGGCCCCTACTTACACGATCATGGGACTTAGTAACTAGGGTTATGAGTTGGGTAACTGGACTTGTAACTACCTATAACCCCAATTAAGGTACTTGTAACCTTACTTACTAAGTCCCATGATCCTTTAGGTACAGTACTCTCAGCCTCCAGCTCGGATCCTAAGGACCTTCAATCTTCGGACCCCTCTCTTCCCAAAGAGGTATCACAACCCAGACCCCCCCAAAAGGATCCAAAAGGCATATATATATATATATATATATGTGGCATGGACCTTTAGGGTCTATTTGGCAATCCTGCTGGGCTTTGTACTTAAACTGCAACAACACCACGGCGACAAGGACGACGACGACTCGGTTTAGCACGACGACGACTGGGTTCAGCACGGCGACGACAAGGTCTGGCACGACGGTTACATCGGGAGGCCGAAGCGTGTACAGTGTAAAGGTCTCGACAGGAGTTTACGGGTCTAGGGTCTTAGCTCCTAACTATGGTTTACCGGGGTCAGTATACTATGGAAGATCTAAGGTTTGGAGTTTATGAGGATTTAGATGGTTTTACGCTCTCACAACTCGGGCATGCCAGGCGACGTTCTCCGTGCTGGTTTTAGGGTCTATCACAATGTCCTCCCGTCCCTCTCGCGCCGGGAACCATCAAGAATCTGTCTTGTGTATCACTCGTCCTGTTTCTTTCTCTCACCGTTCCTCTTCCTGCCTATCCACTCTGCCGTTTGTCAAGAAGACACAGAAATTGAAGTCATGACAGAGGAATACGCATGAAGATGGACGAAGTGAACTCTTCATTCTCTCGTCTCTCCCTTCTGTCCTTCCTTTGATTGATCCTTTTTCTGTTTCTTTTCTTGTCGCCTTCTGCTTTCAATGACAGGGGTAACACGAGGGAGGTCTCGCTTCCGCCTCTCTCTCTCTCTCTCTCTCTCTTTTTCTCGCTCTGTCTTCCTCTCTGCCGTGTCTCGCTCTCTCATCTCTTCTGTCCCCTCTTTCCTTGCTCCGTTGCTGGAAGGAATCGAAAACAGAAGCGAAGACATAAGATGGAGGAAGATGGTTGGGAGAAGGAAGGTGGATTCCTCCCTCACTCGGCTCTTTGATTTTTTGGCCCTTGCCTTCTTTTCTCTGCTCCTATCCTTCTTCACAATTAGAAGGAGAAGCGACAAGAACGGAGAGCTCAGGGAGAGCAAGTGATACTGTTCCTCATAATCTCCTCCTTCCTCGTGTTCATTGCGTTGTCCATCTCCCCCTCGCTCTCTCTCTCTCTCTCTCTTTCTCTCTCTCTCTCTCTCTCTCTCTCTCTCTCGCTCTCTCTCTCTCTCCCTCCATCCTTTCCTCTCTACTTCTGCACATTTACTTTTCCACTTCTCTCGCCTGCTACATTATGCTTGCTTTGATACTTATCTTTAACTTTCTCTCACTCTCTTTGTCCCATCGCTTGCCCTGTTCCTTCTCCTCCTCCCTTCCCTGCCTCCCGTCCTTCTCCCCTTATCACTCAGAAGGAAGAAGGAAGACTCACAAGGAGAAAGACAAGGGAGTAAGAAAACAGACAAAACACACGGAGAGAGAATCCGAGAAAGGAGCCATAATCGAAATACAGAAACAAAGAGAGAAACTAAGGGGGAAAGATAATCAAAAAGAGAGACAGAAAGAGGAGGCGATGCATAAAGCAGCCGACAGTGCCTTGACCTCCACGTCTATTCATTCTTTGTTCTTGTCCTATCACACTGTCTCATTGGTGATAAACCAGGAAGAGCTTGTGGAGGGAGACGAGGAAGAAGTGTTCTCCTCTTCACTCACCTTGTGCCCTTCCTCTCCCACCGCTCGCCCGCTCTCCTTTCTTTGATTTTCTTGTCTGGCGGAAAAGTGGGAACCAGGAAGGAAAGTGGAGAAGGGAAAAGACGAGATTGAGAAATGACAGAAAGAAGAGAGATACAGAGAGAGCGAGGGAGAGCTTCAAGCCCAGCAGAGGAAGAAGAGAGAGGAAGATAAGGGAAGGGGCAAGGGGTGGCCAGAAGAAGCGTAAGCCAAAGCTACGTATTGAAAGGGCGGAAGCCCCTTTCTCCTCTTCTTCCTCTTTGCTCTCTTATTTTTCTCTTAGCGCAGGGCATGCATGGAGCTAGGAAAGGGAAGGGGTCAAAGCGGATGAGAGAAAGTAACGGAGAGAGCTGTTCTTCGTCCCTTTCACCTCCTCCTCTCATTCTTCTGATGCTTACTCATGTCAGAAGGGTTTGGAAAGGAGTGAAGGCTAGGGCATGGACTGAAGCGAGGCAATAGGTGAAAGTGGATAAGAGAAAGTCATAGACAGAGAGTGCGGGAAGTCGAGTGCGAAAGAAAGAGAAACGAGGAAGACTAGGAAGAAGGACACAGAAGAGGAAGCCAGAGAGTACCAGTGTTGCCGTATCTCAAAGGATTCCGGGCCTCGCGAGGGCTTTGAGGAGGCTTGTAGGCGCCTTCAGACACTTCCACAACTTTCTGGAAGCCACCAACTTCCTCCCTAAGGGGGCCTCCCGAGGACATGAACACCAAACCGAGTATAAAGAAAGCAGGGGGATGTAGAGAAGCAGAGTGTGGTAAGAAGGAGCAAGGAGAATCAGTTCGCGTCTCCTCCTCTTTTCCTTTTTGAATGACCAGAGGAAAGAAAAGGATAAGGAGGAAAGGCTCTGCGAAGACATAAGGAAAGAAGAGCAGACAACAGAAAGGAAGCGGTAAGATGCGGGAAGACGGCTCGGAGAAGAAAGGAGAATTCCTCCTTCGCTCGCCTCTCTTACTTCCTTGCCCTTTGCCTTCTTCCTCTTCTCTTACCCTATTCATCTTCATAAGGAAGGAGAAATGAAAGAAACGGAGAGTTCAGGGCATGCAAAGGGCACTCTTCTCATCACCTCATCCATCCTCCTTTTCATTGTTCTCTCCAGATCCCTCTTTCTCCCTCCCTCCCTTCCCGTCTACTTCTGCACATTCCCTTTTCCGCTTCTCTCCGCCTATTATGTTCGCTTGGAAAGAATCGCTTGCCCCCTATTCCTTCTCCTCCTGCCTTTCCTGCCTCTCGTCGAAGAAGGACAATTCACAAGGAAGAAGACAAGGGAGTAAGAGAAAGACAACAGAAGCTGAGAGACAATCCGAGAAGGGCAGAAGAAGAACGAGAGCCATAAGGAAACAAACACAGAAACAAAGAGAGAAAGTAAGAGAGAAAGACCAGCAAAAACAGAGGCAGAGAGGAGAGAGAGGAGGGGAGGGGAAGCGATGCAGAAAGCAGTCGAAAGTGCCTTGCTTGTCCTATCTCACCGTCCCATTGGTAAAAAACCAGGAAGAGGTTGTGGAGGAAGACAAGGAAGAAGTGTTCTCGTCTTCACTCACCTTGTGCCCTTCTTCTCCCACCGCTCGGCCGCTCGACAGAAAGAAGAGAGTTGCGGAGAGGGCGAGAGAGAGCTTCAAGCCCAGCAGAGGAAGAAGAGAGAGGAAGATACGAGAAGTGTGGAGGAAGTGGCCAAAAGAAATGCTACGTAATGAAAGAGGGGAAACCAGTTTCTCCTCTGCTCTTCCTCTTTTCTCTCTTATTCTTCTCTTCGCGCAGGGCATGCATGGAGCCAGGAAAGGGAAGGGGTCAAAGCAGATGAGAGAAAGTAATGGAGAGAGCTGTTCTTCGTCCGTCTGACCTCCTCCTCTCATTTTACTCATATCAGAAGGGTCTGGAAAGGAGTGAAAGGTAGGGCATGGACTGAAGCGAGGGAATAGGTGAAAGTGGATAAGAAACAATGTTAGACAGCTTGCCGAAGGCGGCCAGCTCGCAGCTTGCCTGCGGCCTGGCCTGCTGAGCCTGGTGGGCTTTTGAAGGTGGGCAGGGGCCTGCTGAGATCCGCGGCCAGCACGCCAGGCTTGCTTTGAGGCAGGGCCAGCTGGGGAGCCTGGCCGGGCTGAGTGGGTTGGGTGAGTGAGTGGGGAGAGGGTGGAGAGGAACAGGGAGAAGAGGGTGGGTGGAGAGAGGAGGTAGAGGGAGCGAGGGGTGGGAAGAGGGAGGTAAAGGCAGGTAGGGGCAGGAGGGAAAGGGGAGCAGAGTGAGATGGCAATCAAGAAGGGTTACGGGTGAATGAAGAAGCGCGGATGAGGGGAGGGCGGGTGGACAAAGGGAGGGGAAGAGGAGGGAGTGGGGAGATGGGTGGAGAGGTAGAGGGAGTGGAGGGTGGGTGCGTTCTTTGGATTGTATAGTCTAAGGGTTTTCTACCAAGGGTTCCATATCAGGGATCTGTACAGAGGATCTATAGATTTCTATAACGAGTATATAAAGACTGTGTATGAGGGCTCCATATAATCGATCTTTCAAAGATCTTTTTATAAAGGATTCCATTTGTGGGAAACATAAGCGGTTCCTACAAATTCTTTATCTCGAGGATCTGTAAGGTTTACATATCTATGAAGCTTTTCTATATGGGCTCTATAGACCCCATAAGACAAATTAAAAAGTGATGAATGTGATAAGAAGATGATAAGAAGATGAGTGGATGGGAGAAAAAGTGATGGGAGGTGAGGAGACATGAGATGGGAAGGGAAGGAATGAGTTAGGAGTGGGGGAGGTAGGAGGCAAGTGAGAGGGACAGGGTGGATCATTTACAAACGCCTTTAGAGGGACGCTCCTTGCGATGTGTGATTTTTGGCTCTGAGTTCTTACAAAGCCTGAGAGGGGCACACCCCTTGCGATTTGTGATTTTTGAACTTACTTGTCATGAAAACCTTTTGGGGACACCCCTTAAGATCTGTGGTTTTGGGATCTGAGTTTTCACAAAACCTTAGGGGGATATTTAAGAAGGAGAGAAGGGAGGGTGGGGGAGGGTGGAGATTCCAGGAGAGAGAAAGGGGAAGAGGAGAGGTAGAGGGAGTGGAGGTGGGGGAGAGTGAGGAAGGTGAGGGGAGGGGGTAGTGGGAGGGATAGGGAGAGGGAGGGAGGGGTATGGGAGGAGGACGAGGGATGAGGAGGAGGAAGATAGTGAAGATGATGAGGTGGATGATAAAGAGGGAGGGGTGGAGGGAGGTGTGTGGTGGGATGGGACGGGGTGGGTGGGCACGGCTGCCTGCTTCCGCACGCCCAGCCTTCCCTGCCCGAGCCGCGACCGAGCAGAAAGCATGTAAATATCGCGCTATAACAAGGGCTAGGGATTTCACACATCTGCTGGCAAAATCTGGCGGAAGTGACCTGTGGTCCAGCAAAACACCTGTAAATACCGCATGAAAACAAGGGCTAGGGATTTCACACATCTGCTGGCAAAATCTGGCGGAAGTGACCTGTGCTCGAACAAAACACATGTAAATACCGCGTGAAGACAAGGACTAGGGATTTCACACATCTGCTGGCAAAATCTGGCGGAAGTGACCTGTGGTCCAGCAAAACACCTGTAAGTAACACTTGAAAACAAGGGCTAGGGATTTCACACATCTGCTGGCAAAATCTGGCGGAAGTGACCTGTGCTCGAACAAAACACATGTAAATACCGCGTGAAGACAAGGACTAGGGATTTCACACATCTGCTGGCAAAATCTGGCGGAAGTGACCTGTGCCCGAACAAAACACATGTAAATACCGCGTGAAAACAAGGACTAGGGATTTCACACATCTGCTGGCAAAATCTGGCGGAAGTGACCCGTGCCCGAACAAAACACATGTAAATACCGCGTGAAAACAAGGACTAGGGATTTCACACATCTGCTGGCAAAATCTGGCGGAAGTGACCTGTGATCCAGCAAAACACCTGTAAATACCGCGCTAAAACAGGGGCCAGGGATTTCACACATCTGCTGGCAAAATCTGGCGGAAGTGACCTGTGGTCCACCAAAACACCTGTAACTCAGATCCGAAAACCATAGATCGCAAGGGGTGTCACCCTAAGGGTTTTTGTAATAAATATGTTTCAAAAACACAAATCGCAAGGGGTGTCCCCCTAATTAATTAAGGTTTTGTAAGAACTCCATTACTAGAATCACAGATCGCAATGAGTGTCCCCCTAAAGGCTTTTTCAACAAATAGGTTCCAAAATCACAAATCGCAAGGGGTGTCACCGCAAGGCAGGGTGGGAGAAGCGGGGGAGAGGCATGGGGTTAAGGGCAGGGGGCCCTTTTTCGGGCTTGGGCTGGGGTTGGGCAGGGCTGGCAAGCTTGGAATTCGTGGCTGCGGCTGGGCCACTGGGGCTGGGGTTGGGCAGGGCTGTTGGCTGAAATTTTGGGGGCGGCTGGAGCTGGGTGGGCCGGGCCATGGGGCAGGGGGGGTGGAGGCGGGGTTGGGGCTGGGGCTGAGGGCTGGGGCTGGGGGCTGGAACTGGGGGCTCGCGGATTATACAGGCTTTCTGCTCGATCAGAGATCACTTCCGCCAGATTTTGCCAGCAGATGTGTGAAATCCTTAGCCTTGGTTTTGACGCGGTATTTCAAGCTTTCTGCGTGATCACCGATCACTTCCGTCAGATTTTGCCAGCGGATGTGTGAAATCCCGAGCCCTTGTTTTAACGCGGTATTTACAGGCTTTCTGCGCGATCACCGATCACTTCCGCCAGATTTTACCAACGGATGTGTGAAATCCCTAGCCCTTGTTTTAACGCGGTATTTACAAGCTTTCTGCTCGATCACGGATCACTTCCGCCAGATTTTACCAGCGCATGTGTGAAATCCCTAGCCCTTGTTTTGCCACGGAAAGCTGCTAAACCCGTGCTCGGTTTTAGTGTGGTATTTACAGCACTTTGACAAGGTCGCAGCCCGATCGCACCAAATTTTGTCACACAAAGTTGCTAAACCCCTGCTCGGTTTTAGTGTGGTATTTACAGCACGTTGACAAGGTCGCAGCCCGATCGCACCAAATTTTGTCACGCAAAGTTGCTAAACCTCTGCTCTTCAACTTAGCGCTTTTCGGATTCGGCTGGGGCGGCTCTTTCTTGGTGGCGGCTTCGGGCGGGCTGGGCCTTGTTCTGGAGTTCTGGAAAAGAGGGTTGGGGCTGGTGTGGGGTGGGAGTCTTGGCAAAGCTGGTGGTTGAGGCTCTGAGGGGAGCGCTGGGCTGGGGCTGCAGGCTGGGGCTGGGGAACTGGGCGGGAGGAGGCAGATGGGCAAGGTAAGGCACCGGAAAGCAGCTGCGGGTTGGGGAGGGGCAGAGAGGGAGAGCTGGCCGGTGGGGGCAGGGAGCAGGGGCAGAGAAGGAGAGCTGGCTGGGGCTGGGGTGGAGGCTGGCGGGCGGCTGGGGCTGGGCAGGGAGAGCTGGCGGAGGCGGGCGGCTGGGGCTGGGGGTGGAGGCTGGTGGGGGCGGGCGGCTGGGGCTGGGCTGCGAGCTGGCTGGGTCAGGGGGCTGGAGCTAGAGGCTGGGGGCTGGGTGGAGGTCACCGACACCTATTTAAATTTTTAAAAATCTTTAAAATCTTTAAAATCTTTAAAATCTGAAAAGCTTGGTTTTCAAAAATTAAAGATTTTAAAGATTTTAAAAGCCTTTAAAATCTTTAAAATCTGAAAAGCTTGGTTTTCAAAAATAAAAGATTTTAAAAGCATCTGAAATCTTTAAAATCCTTAAAATCTGAAAAGCCTGAATTGATATAGTATTGATAAACAAAGCAAAGCCATACGTCAAATAAACCCTAAAGGTCCTACGTACATATATATATATGTATATATATATACATAACTTAATCAAGTGGCATGAAGAAACAGGACTACTGTTCCTGAGACCATCTTCCTAGTCTCATAGTTTAATTTAAGTCTCTATCGGGAGCCTTCAGCCGGAGTTCAAAGCCATACCCTGGGCAGGAGAGTGCTCAGCGCCGCGTCAGCTTTGCCGCTGCCCCGGCGTCTCCATGGATCTCCCCGCAAATCCCCATGCTTCAACCATGCACAAATACTATCACCCCTACTTGAGCTCCTTATATAATCGAGTCTAAACCCTTAAGCCCAAAACCCTTAAACCTCTGAACCCTACCGGCATCGTGGTGCGAACATGTGCTAGTGCCCAGTGCTTTTTCGAGGACAGTCGCTTCCCTAACGCCCAGAGGAATATCCGGATCCCGGATATTTCAAAGGGACAAGGGACGCAAAGAAAGAGCAAACTTGGAACACCTGAACCTCATCTAAGATGAGGCAATTAGTTAGCTCTGAAATAGAGCAATGCCTGCAAGCTCCGATAAGCTCCTCACAAACCTCGCCAGTGGACATTGTTGCCAGCCATGCGAGAGGGAAAAAAACCATAAACTTATCCGAATGTCAGCGCCGAAACCCTAAAAACTTGCTCAGGAGCAGGAGGAGCTCGAAGTGCAAGCGTCTCCTAGTGCTCCACGCAAAGGACCGGTCTTGGCCTGGGAGCCCGAAATTTCGGAAGGGTTGAGGCCCTGGGCCTTGGGTTTTGGGGTTTCGGCATTAGGAGTTTGGGGTTCTGGGGCTCAGGGTTTAACCCTAAACCCTGAACCCCAAGCCCTTTCGGGATTTAAGGGTTTCGGGATTTAGGTTGAGGGGGCTTGGGGGAGTTCGGCCTGGGCTTTGGGTTGAGGGTTTCGGAGGCCTCAAAAGGTGGGATGAGGGTTTAGGGTTTGGGGTTTAGGGTAGGAGTAAGGATCCCTTATATAAGGACTCTTATTTGGGAATATCCCAGCTACCTTCATCCCACCGTTTGACGCCTCCGAGGGTTGATGGTCAAGGTCTGTAAGGGCCAGGGCATAAGGGCTCATGTAAGCTGCAGGGTGGCTTTTCCGATCTTGGGTCAGGACTTCCGGTGCTCAGTTTAAAGGCTTAAAGGTTTAGTTACTTCGATCATCAGGGCTTGATTGGTTTTGAATCTTCTAGGCTATATGACTGCATTCTCAAAGTAAAAACCTGTGGCTTGTTCCTCAATTTGACACTGTGCCATTGTATCCGAACCCGAAGACCAAAGCCCCTTCGTGAAGGAACCGGGTTCGTGTCTGCGGCCGACATACCGGATGACGAGGATGAAGACGAGGAGGACGCTCGAGATTGCTAATGTCTGCTGAAGCTAGTTAGCTGAGGGGCTGACTATGGCTGAGAGTAGAAAGTATTGCGTGCGTTGCTCATATCGCGCCGAATCGCTGAACCGACTGCCCTACGCAGTCGAAGTCATCCGCCTAGAACCACAATATCATAAGCGCTGAAGCCCGAAACATCTTCATTCCCAAACTCCCAGACCCTGATCATCCTAAGGATCGTCTCCCTTGGACTACCGGCGATCACACGATGGGAGTTTCCGAAAATTGGGGGGGTACCTTATTTTGGGGTCCTTACAATAAGGATCCTACTATTGAGGGCGCTATATTAGGGTCCCCTGTTGTCGGAAGCCCCCCATGTAGGAGGATGGACTACACTGATGTTCACCATGCCCTTTCAATCCTTCACACGACACGACCGGCCATGCACAAACTCGGCACATGCGACATCCAGTGATGGCACACCCGTTCAGACATGATTCGGGTTTGAACATGTGTCAGAAAAAAACATACCTTTGGTTAGTAGGGAATGGAGGAATGGATACAGTTATAACTACTATTACTACCATTCTTCCATTCCCTACTACAACTAACCAACGGTAAGAAAAGGAGCGTCGGAAGGAACCAAGGGATTTCAGACTGCACAGTATGTGCCAGACTAAGCAGCAGCTAGGGGCAGGTATACTCGACATGGCATGTAGACGTACAATGATGACCAGCATGACCGACTTGAGTACGTGACAGAGAGACAGAGAGGCAGACAAAGACAAAAGAGAGAGAGAGAGAGAGAGAGAGAACATTGGAAATCCGTAGCCATTCCATTTATTTGCCCTACGTAGTCCTACAGCCCAAACTCGAAGCCTGGGCAGGAGAGTGCTCAGCACCGCGTCAGCTTTGCCGCTGCCCTGGCGTCTCCCCTGGAACATGGCCCCCTAAACTCCCTAAACCCTAAAACCCTAAACCCTAAACCCTAAAACCCCAAAACCCCAAAACCCCAAAACCCTAAAACCCAAAACCCTAAACCCTAAAACCCAAAACCCTAAACCCTAAACCCTAAATCCTAAAACCCTAAAACCCTAAACCCTAAACCCTATAGAACCCTGAAGCCGAAACTTCAAACAGCCCCACGCAGAATCCTAAACAGACAGACCCTAAACCGTGAAAGCCGAACCAGAACCCTTAAAAAGCATGATTCTTTATGTTAGGGTCGAGTAGTGGTATAGTGCTTTATGGTTTGAGAGTTTATGGCTTGGAACCGAGGGCGTACGGTGTTTTGTGGTTTATAACTTATAACCGGGATGGAGGAATTCTCAGCACTGCACAGTCTGTTCAGCCCCATCAGGCGTTGCATGCATGCAGGATTTGTAGGCTACACCTGGCCAGTAAGCTTGGAGCTATTTCCTCATCCATAAACCCAACCCTTCAGCCACTTAATAAGCAAGTTCTTAGCCTTAGCCCTTAAACCTTAAGCGTCAATACCCAAAATCCTCAGCCCCTAAACTCCAAACCCCTATAAACGCTAAACTTGCTCAGGACCAGGAGGAGCTCGAAGTACAAGCGTCTCCTAGTGCTCCGCGTAAAGGACCGGTTTCGGCCTCGAGCCCGAAATTTCGGACGGGTTGAGGCCCAGCTTTTGGGGTTTATAGACGCCTTAGGAGTTAGGGGTTAAGGCCCAGAGCTTTGGGTTTTGGGGTTTATATGGCCGTTTAGGATTTGAGTGCTGGCTCCAGGATGACGGGATTCAGGGCTTAGTGCATTGCAGTCCCTGCGGAAAAAAAAGGGCTTTTGGAATAGCTTGCCATGCGGAAAAAAGGGGTTTAGGATTAGGGCTTAGGGTTTGGGGTTTATTAGGGGCTTTGGGTTCAGGCCTTTGGGGGTGTTTCGGGATTTAGGTGTAGGGGTTCAGGGGTTCGTCCTTGGGCTTTGAGTTTAGGATTGAGAAAGGGTTCAGGGTGGGATTTCCGTGCTTGAACTTGGGACAGGCCTCCTAGTGCTCTAGCATGTAACTAACCGTGATTGTTTTTAATCTTCGAAGCTAGAAGACTGCATCTGAAAGTAAAAACTGCGGCTTGTTCCTCAATTTGACACTGTGCCCTTGTAACCGAACCCGAAGACCAATGCCTCTTCGTGAAGGAACCGGGTTCGTGTCTGCGGCCGACATACCGGATGACGAGGATGAAGACGAGGAGGACGCTCGAGATTGCTAATGTCTGCTGAAGCTAGTTAGCTGAGGGGCTGAGTATGGCTGGGTGATGGCTGGGTGTAGATTGCTATAGTCTGCTGAAGCTAGTTGGCTGAGGGGCTGAGTATGTCTGGGTGTAGACATTGTTGCGTGCTAATTATGCTCAAACGATTTGTCCGATCGTTTAATTGATGCCTGCCATCCGCTGTGCTTCAACTTCGCGCAGAGTCGCCGAGCCTTGCCGACAGCTGTGCGCAGTCGAAGTCATCCTCCAAAAGCCAAAGTATCACGGGCCCCTACTACTACTACGACTACTACTACTACTACTACTACTACTACTACTACCACTACTGCCCTGAATCCCGAAACGTCTTCAATCCTAAACTCCCAGACCCGAACCATCCTTGCGAGTCGTCTCTCTGGGACTGCAGGCGATCATCCGGAGTAGGAGCATCAACTACACCGACTTGCACCGTGCCCTATTTATCCTTCACACGACCGACTGCAAAAATATCGGCCCATGCGACATCCAGTGATGGAAAACCCGTTCAAACAGCAGGGTTTGAAGCTGTGTGACCACTTGTCCGTGGATTCTAAAGGAGCAGCAGGAGGGGCATGCAACATAAGTATGAACGGTATGCCCAATGCCAGACTGAGCAGCAGCCAGATGCAGGTAACACTCGACGTGGCGCATACACACTGGTTGTCAGCGTGATCGACTCGAGTACGTCGCAGAGAAAGACCTAAACCTTCTTGCTCTGCTTGAAGGAAGAGGCTGCCAATGCGTACGAAGATGATTGCTTCCAGCTCAGTCTCCCCTTGCACTGAATCAGAAGCTAGAAAGTTGGAGCACTGTCGCTCTAAAATAGGTGCGAAGATAGCAAATACCAAGATTATTGGTTGGGGGTTCCTTCTTTAATACAATAATTAATACATAGAACATCATAGCCCTGAAACGCTGTTAAACCTGTTCAAGCCCCTAGAATAGATTTGCTGAAGGGCCTAGCTTTATACCGCGCACCTATTCCCGCAATTCAGGGTCTAGGCACTCTTAGCACCTATCACGCTGACACTCGATCCATGTTTCCGTTTTCTGCTTCTGCGACAATGCGCCGTAAAAAGCCAAGTTGTGAGCTGCAGCCGGGGGAGCCATGGCATGAAGCTACCATAGAATTATGCATGGACCCTAGGTTGTAGTGCTTGTTTTGGGTAGTTAACCAAGACTATGGTTCGGATCTTATACAGAAGAAGGTACGACAATCTAGGGTGTGCGTAGCTATTTAGGATATCCTGAAAGGGGTTCTCAGGATTCCTAAACGTTGTGCAAAACAGCAAGCATCGATCCCGAACATGGCTCTGTCACATCTTGTCAGCGGGAAGTAGCTGGAGTGCTGGAACCCGGAAGCTCGAAATCCAAACCTCGAAAGCTTGATTCCAGAATACCTATGAGCCCAGACTTCAACCACGTGTTTAAAACTTTTGAAGGCCGCACGCCCCTGGCTGCGTGGGTACGCTGTACTCGAAATGCTGTTGTAAGTGCTCAGGCCCCACCTCACAAAGCCCCGCTACCCCTTTGCAACCCTTAAAGGGGACCCTATTGTAGAACGCGACAGTAGCCTTTAAGGCAACCATGAACGGAACTAAACTCTGCGAATTTTGCCAAGACTCGGCACCATCGAGTAGAGGCTCGGGAGTCGACTCCCCGACGCTGGGCGCATATTCAAGGGTTGATGACTTTGTTTAGTCTTTTTTTATGGCTTAAGTTTAGGGACCCTCTAAATTCTAGAATAGGACCCATATTAGGAAGAGCCTGCCAAGTAGGTTATGGCAGGTTCAAGTGCATGTAGGGTTTACTGGTTCAGGGTTTACATGGGCTTCAGCCAGGGTGCTGGGATTTGGGGCTTAAAGCCCTGCTGAGGAGGTAAGTCTTGGTGGGTGTTAGGGATTTGGGGTTTCACAAACTCCGAGCTTTTCAGGGTTTCATTGCTCAGAGGCGGCAGGTTGAGGATCCTGTGCTGGGGACATCTTCTGAATGTTATGTGAACCTTAACTCTACTAATTCACTGAAAAAGTCCAGCTCGCTAATATTCTTGTAGCTCTTCAAGAATACAACAGTGCAGATGCAGGGGTGTCAGAGTCTCAAGGTTCCGCAGTAATGCCCTTGTTCTCTTTTTCTTTTGAGGCCCTTGCGAAAAGAAACAAATAGGAGGGAAAAACAGGTACCCGCATTCTTAAGGGGCTACGTGGGAACGTAGGTTTAGAGGAGGCATATGTTTGAGATTGACGTGGTTGGTCAGGACTAATGTATGAATCGGTTTGAGATCGGGTCTTGAGGGCGGTCTACATGCAGTTTTTGTTGGGGTGGCACTGCCTTATAATGCTTGACTAGAAGTTCAAGCGTCTTACGGGGGCGCTATCTCGTTTGTCCTTAGTCTTGCTCGGCGTCATGCTACAATAGTTCACTTGTTCGCAGCTCGCAGCCTTCCCTCGAATATGTTGCTGGTTTACAGGAGTTACAAAGCGAAGTACAACTCTGCTGTTGCCCGTGGCTCTGCATTTTAAGATCGCTGAGGCGAGCTGCCACCGAGTCGATCGGCGATGACGAGTGGCTCCCTCTGACCTGGAAACAGTCACAAGTAGCGATACAAAGCGGGTTTTCGGACTTCGGGCTGCGGAACGCATGGGTGACAAGAATGCGCAACCAACACCCCTCACCCCTCACAACACTGATGCTAGGGGTCTGCGGTTGCTCTAATGTCAGGATAGAGCATGTAGAGCATTGGGCTTTGAGGTCCGGGGTGTTAGTCAGCACCAATCCGACGTCTTAAATTTGCATTCCTAGAGTATAGGCGCTTGAATTAGCCGCATACCCTGGCAGCCCCTATATTCTATATGGTTTCCCCCATGTTAGCCCTGGAATCCCCGGCAATCGCATCCTGGAAACCTACTTTCTACTCGAGCGGGAAGCCTTTGAATGCACTGTCTCGTTTAGTTTGGCACAATAAACCTCACTCTCAAGGTCTAGGTGCACCTACCTCCAGGTACGAACCCAAAAGCGGGAGACCTAAGCCGCGAGGGCTGGCTCAATCCATGACTCGTATTCCTCACAGCCTTGGCCCAACAAAGCCTGAAGCCGCCGACGCCCCCCCAGGCTCAGGGCCTGTGAAGCCGCCAAGCAGAACCCCAAAGCACAAACGATCAGGGCTTCGGGTTTTAGTTCTTACGCTCTTGTTTTTCGGTCTGAGAGTGTGTGCGTGTGTCAGGCTTGCAGGCTTAGGCATTAAGTGGGCCGTGGCGGCTTGACCTGTGGGGGACCAGATGTGTCTGGCTTAGGCCCCAAACCCCTAGACCCAAAACCCCTCAACTGGAAGCGTAGCGGTGATACTGTGGACGATTTGGGGCCTTGCCTGCTGCGAGCGAGTGTGAGCGTCAAAACCCCTCAATCAAAAGGAACATAGAAGTTGTCTAGTGAAAGCAGGGCTTGTTGGCACAGTATGGCAGGGCGGGGCAGCAGCGGCAGAAGGGCAGGGCAAGGCAGGCCAGGCCAGCTTATTACACAAATCTGGCCGAGGAGCAGCACAGGGCAAGCCAGCAAGCAGGCAGAGCAGGGCGGAAGGCCCAAAACGGAAAAATGGAAAGCAGGGCATGGCAAGGCAAAAGCGCCAAAGCAAACCCATAAAGCAACCCAAAAAACGCCCAAAACCCACCAAAACCCTACAAAACTCCGCACCCAAAGCCTATATAACTTCTGTCAAAGCCTTTTTCTCAGAAGCCCTCCGTCCCAGCTCCCGAGGCCTCGCAAACTCCCGGAGCCGGCGCAGGCCCACGAAACCTTACATGCGTGGGTGTCAAAATTAGGGTCCCTTTTGGGGTACCCTAAATATGAGGTGCCGTATTATAATCAGGACCCTGAATCTTAATCTGTCTTAATCATAACTGAAAGAGGGAAACATTCGCAGTAGCAAAAGATGCGAAGAAGAGTCTTCACAGTCGTAATCATGAAGACAACAACAATTACAATATCTCCGACTCGCGGAGGCACACTAGCTTTTTGCTTCGAGAAAACAAGCCTTCGGTAGCACATCATGAACAAGCGCACTCGCATTCGGACTCCCCCTTCAGCAATCCGCTGAACAGAAGATGCGAGATTTAGGCGCCCATCACACCAAAAGAACCCTGAAACTTTACAAGGGTTTCTGAAGCACCTTTTGCTTCATAATACCTGCAGCCGACTTACGCAGCCTGCAGTCCGGACTCAAGGCTTGACATTCATTCGTCCTTGTGCTGGGACTAGGCGCAGCTCCGTGCGCCCCCTCCACTCACGATCCGCTAGTGTTTGCGCAGGCTTGTGCAACTCCTTGTAGTTGTCTGCCACGACACGCGTCTCTCCATTGGCAAACTTCGCAAAGGTCTGCCTCTCTCCGGTAAGTTGTGATTGGATAGGGCCTCCAGCGGTCTGGCCTGGCACGAAAAGCTGCATCCGAGCGGCGGCGTGCCAGCGAATCACTACGCCATTCGCTTCGTCCCATTCCCAGCGATCGCGCTTTCCGGAGGGGTCCGGAAAGCTGTATGCTGTCTCGGCTGGCCTAGTCACGATGCGAGGCTCTGGAGCTTGCATGGTCACCGTAGGAATCGGAGGCGTTGGTGGACGACGTTCCCCAGTGACCCGACTGCGATTCCGCAAAGTAGAAGAAGCAGCAGCCTGGGAAATCACCGGTGAGGTTACCTCCTGTCGATCCTCGGTGCCTGAATCAGGATCCGAGGACCTACTCAGCGAGGTCTCTTCCTGCGTTCTCCGCAGGCCGCTCCGGCGGTAATCCAGTCTCGGGTCGAGCTCGCGGTAGTAGCCAAGCATCGTGCTGAACGCGCCCTTCACGCACTCCCAAATCGCAATCACGGCCAGCATGCACAACCCAACGAACAGGTAGTCGAAAGGCTCCCGGGGGTCGATCTCGGCAGCCTCTCCATGCTCCACCATAGCAGCCAAGCATAACACCATCATCAACTTCTTTGCCTGGCCAGCGGTCAAACTCTTGGTAGAAGCGGTGGAGCGTGTGCGCACCACCCTCATCCTATCAACAAGCATGTTGAAGCGATCCGCAGCCAAGGCCTTCGTTCCCAGGTCCGCCAACATCACTTTGCCGTCGACATGGTAGGCGCACCAGTTGGGGAGCTCAAGCAGCTCCCTGATCATGTTGCCACGGATCCTCAAGTGCCTTGTCCTCCACGAGCCTGCCGCACATCGGCACACCGCTAGGGCCGACTGGCTATCCGAATACATCACCTTGATCACCTCATTGATCCGGGCACTCGAGTCAAGCATGATCTCAGCAACCAAATGCTCTACTGACTTCACACAAGTAGCTAGCTCGCAAATGGCCACCAACTCGCTCTCCGCCGTCGACATAGTCCCAAAGGCCTGGCGATGGCTGGACCAGGCAATGAGCCCGCCAGCCACAAAGACCATCACAGCTTGCTGGCTTCTCTCCGCACTCGGGGCAAAGCTGGCGTCACAGTAGCCTTCAATGACCGCATTGGCCGCCGACACCTGACCATCTGGCGTCACTTGAGGCCGTCGGGTGTACAGAAGCCCAGCCTTGGGGAAGCGCTTGAGGTACTTGATCAGGTGGCCTCCGCGGTACACCGCCTCTTTTGGTCGTCGGCTTATGGTCTGCGATAACAGATTCACCGCATAGAGGATTTCCGGCCGGCATCGTCCCGCCAACCATTGAAGTTCCCCCGCCATCACCTGTGCCGTATGAACGAAGTCCGCCGCGACCTCGCCGTCCTTAAGCTCGAAGTCTTCAGTGCAGAGCTGCATTGGGGCTGGCACCTCCTCATAGCCGGGCAGGTCCTTGTAGCGGTCCAAAAGGTCCTTCGTATAGGAGTCCTGCCTCAATACCAGACCATCCTCTGTGCTCTGGATCTCAAAGCCGTTGAAGGTGACATCATCCCATTGGGGCTCAGTGCACTTCCAAGTGCTTCCAATCATCCTCGCGACCTCCTGAGCAACGATCTTCTCGCCCGCGATCAGGAGGTCGTCCACATAGCAGATGAGAGCCCCGGCACGACGAGCTCCAACCTGAATATACCACAGGCTTCCATCGATCTCCGACTGGATCAATTTGACCGGTCCTTCCGGGACGGTGCCTTTCATCTCCGCCAGCGTGCGGTTGCGGTACACCTCCCATGACCTCGGAGAAGTAACCAAACCATACAAGGCCCGTTTGACCCTCCAAATCCGCTCTTGGCACACGTTTCCAAGAAGAAACATCTTCGGCACCTGGACCAAGGTGGGTCGATCTTCTTGAAACAGGAGAGGAGCTAGTAAAAAGGCCGTTCGTACATCCATGACACAGACACTCCACATCATGAGAGCGATCATCCGGAAGAGGATGCGGGTCAAAACTCCATCTGCACCAGCAGCATACTTCTGGTCCTTCGAGAAGTTCTGTCCCAGGAAGTTGCCGCAAATCACCGCCCTCGTCTTCAAACGGCCCGTGAAAGCCTTCACGGTGTGCACGGTTTTCCCGGGAACCAAATCAAACTCACGTCCTTCCCGGCGCCACTGGTCCAGGAGCTTCTCATCGAAAGGCTCCACCGCGTCATTCTCCCGGACCAGAGATTCGTACTCCGAAACCATGCTTGGAACCCACTTGCCGATCTCCTTCCGGACCACGTCATTGGGAATGGTCTTCGTGTGCAAAGGCATTTCCAGCTCCTTTTCCTCCGCCACCTCGACTTTCTTCACTGCACACTCTGACTGCTCCGTTTCCAAAGACGAAAACTCCTCCATGGTGCCTTCCAAATCGGCACGACCTTGAACCCACTTGGACAGTGAGCCAGCACCGTCTTCTCCTTCTCCGCCTTTTCGTAGAAGCTCGTCCCCATCCAGGTACTCCTCCTGGATCAGCGTAAGACGGAGATCGTCAAGGTAGGTGTCAAAAAGATCCCATCCCACCTCCAACGGAACCTCAGAACCAAGGAGCATGTACGAGGCCTCGTCCTGGTCATTGATCGCCTTGAGCTTCGGAACTTCCGGCGGACCATAGGCCCCCCAGGCCTCATTCAACCATGCGCCGTCACCGAAGCCGCCCACATCCTGGTTCCCAAGCACAGCCTCTTCCGACTCCAGCGCCTCATCATCTCCACCAATGTAGAACACCTGGGGCTCCAACCGCGACTTCACCTGAGACACCCGGCAGGTACACAGCGACGGATCCACCTCGTAGCCTTTGCACAAACAGGCCGACTCGCATAGCCCGCCTCCGCCAACTTGAGAAGGTTCCAACATCTGATCCTCCCCCGCACCCTGACTGTCTCCACCGACTTGAGGGAGTTCCAAAAACTGATCCTCCTCCAGACCCTGACTGTCTCCACCGACTTGATGGGGTTCCAAAAACTGATCCTCCCCCGAACCTGGACTGCATCTTCCAGCTCCGTCAAAAGCACCACAAAACTTCCGAAGGGCACCCTTGGAACGACGCAAACTTTTCATCGCCCCACAACAACACCGAGCTCCTCCTCCTTCAGCCCGCGGCTGAACCATGGCCGGTGGTAGTGGAAAACCCAAAGCTTGTAGTAGATCACGATCCGCTGAAGAGCAGTTGCAGTCACAGCCCACAGTATACGCACTGATGACATAGCGATCACCTTCCCAAGACTGAGGTTGATGAAGCCGTCGGGGGTCGAAGGTGACGAGCTGATGGTAGGTTGGGTGAACCTTGCCCGGTAGCCAGCAAGCGTCCACCTTTTTCCAGCGCACATCCGACTCGGCAGTCTCGTCATGGCACCACAAACCACCTCCCACATAGTTGCCAAAGCCCATCAAGTACGCTTTCTCCCCCGGCTTGTTGTTGCTGTCCTTGTGACATTGCGATGGCATGTTGAAGTTGACTGCTAGGGAAGTGAAGGTAGTTCCCGGAGGGAGCTGCGCCTTGACAAACTCCACTAGGAACTTCACTAGCGCGGGCCGATGCCGAACCAGATTGGTCGCCCCAACTACTCCACCATGCCGAAACATGCCAGCCACATGGGAGGTAATCCGGGAGCTGTGGCTGAAGGTTTCTCCTCGGCGGTTGGGTACCGTCTCTTCACTTAGCCAAAGACCGTCCAGTAGCTGGTCCATAGCATCAGCCGAAAAGTCCTTGGCGTCCAGGAAGGTTTCCGCGAGCTCCTCGTCCTGAATGAGGTGCTCCTCCCATTGATCATTGCAGCGTAGCTTCGCAATCGCGGGGGTCTTTTCTCGCATCCTGCGTCGAACTCCGGGCTCTCCAGTAGCAGAGGGCGGAGCAGCAACCTCGAACTCTCCCGAGACCTCCTTCACGTTCTCGACCGCCACACCATGGTAGTCACGTAGGCGCCGTCATCGGTCTTCACCAGGAAACCCCGCGCCACATCCAACGAAGGACAGAGAACCCTCGCCGCCACCACCTTCTCCGAAAACTCCTCCTTCTTAAGGTTCCAGGACCTCCTCTTGACGAAGACCCGCGTTCCAAACGGTGGCAACCGGGGTAGACGAGCACCAAGCTGAGTGGCCACCTGCTGCTGGATCCGGGAGGTGTAGTGCCGCATCGCAAAAGCCCACATCTCTGCTCCTAAACCGGAGCTGGCTAAGTAGGTCCGAACCGCGCACTTAGCCCTGCCAACCAAAGCCTCCACCCGACCATTGGCCTTGAAGTCATCTCCAACAGTCGTAGTCCGCACCAAATTGCGATCCCGACATAGAGCTCGAAAGCCTTTGTTGATGAACTCCCGGCCGCGGTCCGTGTGAATCCTCTGGACAGAGAGCCCGAGCTTCTTCACCTGCACCAGCACGTCC